CTAACTCTTGTTTAATATGGACATTTGCTGTTACCTGAACCCTGCTAAGTCTGAAACTTCAGTGGCAAAAACATCTGTGGGTGTGGGCATCACAAAGGTTGGTTTTAAAGCTTCATCTTCACAAAAGCCTAATGCTGATCTTTTTCAAAAACAAGCCAAGTCTCTCATTCCATTGAGAGAACTAATCCACAGATTACAAATAGGGATGAAGATATTCGTTCCACTTCATGCACTAGTTTCACTGATCAGGTTTATCACAGAAGTACAAGTAATATCCGACAGTCGGACTACCTCCACTACAACGGTTTGGTCTAAATCATGAAACCAGATTCAAAACCATCGGAAAAATCTGATTTTGTGAATCGAAAAAAAATCAAACACAAATCGATGCACGTACACAGAAGAAGTAAGTCAACAATTCACATTCATTCATCATCCTCAACCTTGGACTTCAAGGAAACCATTGCTAGGGTTTAAAAAATGGTTTCTAGAGATACCTGGATCGGAGTTTTTGGAAGACAGAGGGATGAACGCGATTCAGACCTAGCCGCTCGAATACTCAGCTTGGACGGGATCTCGATCGGAGATGAAAGACGCAAACTGGACTACTGGAGGCTATGGACGAGAATGAATGTAGACACTTAATTTTAACTGGGCCAGGGAATTGAAATGACATGGGTTTGGGTATGAATTTGTAATTGGATTGGTTATTAACGAGAGGATTTTGATTTAAATCCAAATTCAAATTCTTTGGGTTGCCAAACAAGGAATTTGAGCCAAATCCGGATTTGAAATCCAAATTCAGGTTCCCAAACAGGTCACAAAGTAAAACGAGTAATTCACAAAATGGTGTTTTCTAATGAGATATTTTCTCAAATTAATTTTCAATACGTTCTAATTACCTACATGGTACTTTATCATTGAGATTTATTCCCTATGTAGTCCTTCTTAAAAAAATATCACTTAAATATCGATTAAGTAGAAGTCATTTTAGTATTTTTCATCATTTAAACTTAGAATAAGTTGTCATATGGAGTATATCATTTCTAATGAAGTGTTTCTTCAAAATGGTCTGTTTTAATTGAGGTGTATTTGATTTAAATTTTAAAATATGTTATTGTCAATAATTTTTATATAATTTTTACATGAAATTGTATAGAAATGATCATTTTGAGAATATAATTTATGTTTAAATTATAGAAATACCATAATCCCATCCAATTAATCAGCATTTAAGTAATTTTTTTACGAACGACTACTTTGAGAATAAATCTCAATTAATAATTACAAAGTAGGTAATTCAAATTTATTATGAACTAATTTGGAAATATACCTCATTAGAAAGGACCATTTTAAGAGTTACTCAAGTAAACAATAAACACTACTCGTATCTATTTAATTTGTTACTTTCATTTAATAATAAATACAGTAAAATATAATAATAAATAATTTATAAGTAAATACACTTTATAATCTAGAAAGATCAAGAAATATCTATTAATTATAATAAAAAATAGAAAGTATGAAAGAGCGTATGAACAATAACATTGAAAACTAGATTGAAAATAGGTGGCTGGCACGTTAGCCTGAGTTGACCTATTCAATATGTTAACACTTGATCTAGATATGCATTCGGGTCGGTGCACTGTCCAATTTTTAGAACATTGGTCAAAATCATTGAGTACGATAAATTCATAGTTAGATCTAAGGTCGGTCTAAACTTCGAGACCCTTCTTAAGTGCTACATAAACATTTTTATAATATTGTGAAAAAATATATTTATTCGTTGATTTAAAAAAGTTCAAGCATTGTGTAAACATTCATGATTTTGTTTTTTGAGTAGACTTTAATATGTTCTTGATAGAAACACTTTATTGATGAAAATAACATATTTGATGAATCTAGATATCATCTTCAACTGTCAATTGTAAATGCAGATAAAAGAATCACTTTTGATAAGGTTTTAGCTTCGAATGAGTAATGAATAAAATAAAAGTTGCATATTAAAATTTCCTTGCCTCTTACTAAGAAGTTTCAAGAAGAAAATGCAGCAACCAACGCATAAAGAGTCCAACAGAAATAACTTCTTTAGTTTCAGAGGGGTAAGATTGCGTACAACTTTGACGCAGGGATGGCAATTCTACCCGAATCCAACTTTTACCGACCCGACCGGAGCTTATTGTATCCGAATCCGAATCAAAAAATTAAATATCCGAAACCGACCCGAAAAAATTAAATCGAACCCGACTTTTGTCGGGTTGGGTATGGGTTAGTATATTTGACCGATCCGACCTGTACCCGAACCGACCCGACATATACCCGACTTTCAATAAATTTTAAATAACTCTAAATTCCTGTATTCATGTATTGTTTATGCGCATATTTTTAATATTTTAAAACTTATTGGTTTTTATGTTTCATTTTTTATTATGGTTTAATATTGTGTGTCCTACATGTGCTATTTTCAATGTACTCCATATATTCCTCCCGTTGACTCGAATGAGTTTTTATTCCTCCCGTTGGAGATGATTACCACTCCTTTGTGTTGCCATGCCTCTCCGTATGGCCTTTATTGTCTTAGTGTGGTTATGCTCGTGTTGGCCTGGTGTGAGTTTGGATTGTCGTGTTGGTTTGATGTTTTAGACCTTATTGTGGCTTTGGTCAAGCCCTAGACTAGTATGTTGTTTGTTTCGATCTTATTGTGGCCTTGATCAAGTCTTAGTTAGCTTGTTTGTTGTTTAGACCTTATTGTGGCCTTGGTCAAGCCGTTCTAGGTTCCCTTACCCCCTTATTTGTTATTGTATCCCCGAAAGGTTTGTCTTCCGTATGAGGGGCTGGCGTTAGGCCTTGGTATAGTCCTTCCCTCACTTTGTGGCTCCCTACTATCTTAATAAACTCGGTAAGGGTTGCCTAGACCTTACCCCACCAGACTTGGTGGTTTGCCACTGGGATTAAAAAAAATGTACTCCATATATTATTAATTGAAACTTAATATTGTTTGTTCCACATGCGCGGGAAGACGAAGCGTTGCGGATTTCTAGTCTGACGTCCCCCTAACGAGATCGGACAACTTCCGTTTGACATCTTTAAGGGTTATTCGGTCATATTTTTTTTTATAATATCTTAAATTTTATATCATCTTTAAAATTTTTAATTTCTAATGCATTTCAATCTTAAATTTTTCATGAATACTTTAAATAGTATTCAAACCCGAAATTGACCGTAACCGACCCGACCGAATCTTAAACCGAATTCGAACCGAAAAAATAAATATCCGAAACTGACCCGCCAAAATCAAACCCGAACCCGACCTAAGTTAGGTCAGGTTTTAATATACTCAAACCCAACCGAATCCGACCCGTTGCCATCCCCCTACATTGACGAGTTAAGATTATACTCAATTTGTTGTTGTTGTGCATCCGGAAGCATATATGAAGGAAAGCTTTTCACATATTCAAAAGCTGTATAGAATACAATACTGACTGCTTGGATTCAAATATTAAGGGCAAGCGCGTACTGACAACATCAATCATTCATCTCCATGTTCATCGAGCATTTACATTTGCGTTAAAACTGGACAATAAGTAATAGGCTCTAACTACTAAATGCTTCCCAAAAACACTGCGAGCCTCGGGGTTAATGTACTGCAGTTTTATTTATAGCTACTTTGGTTCACATGCTTAGCAAGAAGAGTGCGGTGTAGCTCAACATTTTGGAACCGACTTAACGGGGGCCCATATATCTGCACCATTGCTACTGGCAACTCCGTTGGTGTAGGACAGAGGCACAAGACATAAGCCCTTACCTCTCAAACTGTACGGGTGAGATTCCTTTGGACAAACAGGGGAAAACATCATCATCGATTCAGTTGTTACTAGTATGCAACCTGATTTGGATTTTACTGCAATTTGACCCAAATCTTACACTAGACAAGATGATAGGGTAACATGCAAACATAACCAAAAAAATACTCCATAATAGGTACTCCCTTCATTCCACAGTAACTGTCTATTAATTTTTTTTAGATACATTAGATTTTGAATGAATGTAGACTTAAGTATGTCTACATTCATTCAAAATCTAATGTATCTAATAAACCTTAAAAGACAGCTATTGTGGAATGGAGGGAGTAGTTAATATGTGTCTTGTACATCAGAAGATCAAAGCGTGCAGGAATTGGAATATATCTTAGGTGTACCGTTTAATACTAACCTGTATATTAGATGCTGTCGTAGAATGGAGATAAGGAGCACTCAACACCTAAAACCATTAAAAAAGAAAAACAAGCACAAAGTAAGCGAGGTAGGTGTGTATATAGCTTACGCAGTTAAGAGGTAAATGATGGAGAAGCTGAAATGCAGGGATGAGGAGTGGTAGAAGTAGAAGAAAGAATAGTAACAAACCTTAACCTGTTCATGGAGGAAATTTATGTACCCCATTGCTTCAAAAAGAACAGAGGCTGTGTCTGTCTGTCAGTGTAAAAAAGATAAACAAAGGCATAGGCCTCTTAACTCAAAGTGTAATTTACAAATACTTCCTCTCAAAGATAACAATATACACTAAATGGTAGTACGCAAGGCAAGTGAAGGGCACCTTTCCAAATGGTGACACAAGCTGCTGCAGAGCTGCGATACGCTCGCCAAATTTCTCTTTCTTTTCCTGTTGGGTGGGGGGGGTACAAAATTCTTATTATAGAGATGAAGAGAGAAAAGGCGAGATAAATTCAGAAATGGAAAATTTTAACCATTTATTAAAATACTTCGAGAACAAATACATTCTAAGCATCGAAGCTCCTCATAGAGTGTGTTTGTGTGTGTATTTATGCATTTGTTGCATGTGTGCAACTGTGTGTGTGTGGGAATGTGCGCCCGTGCTTGTGTTGATAGAAAGAGAGAGAGAGAGGCTAGAGGGCAAAAAAACCACTCCATAAAAGAATGTAATTCTTTATTTCATTTATAGTCCAGTCATTCCCTAATCCCCACTTAGAGTAATAATATAGTTTAATGTGCGTTCATATAATTCGGATTTAATTTTGGTTTGGCTTTGAATCGATTATCATGGTCCGAAATGAAAAAAAAATTATGTTTGGTCTTGGAAAAACCCAAAGTATCGTCGTGTCTACTTTCTACCTTGTTAAGATGACAGCCCCTAATGACCCACTAATAGCTCTCAGCTTGCCATTGTGTGTTCGAAAAAAATTTAAAACCATGATGGCACACTGACTTTGTAAAGCTAAAACGCAATAAATCTTGTGTTGATTACCACTATGCATGAACACCCATAGACAAAGAGAAAAACAGAGATATATACAAAAATAAATTCATAAAAAATAAATGCATAAACTTTTTTAAAGTGAGATTAGCTATTAATTAATAACCAGCATTGCAGGGCAAAAAGGAAGAGTAATCAACCTTGGAAGAAAGTGACATTTCTGCCTTGTGACGTTTAGGAGCTATAGATGCCATGCTACTATGTTCAAGTGAGACGGGACCTCTTTTGTGTTCCATCATTTCTGTTTTAAAGCTTCCCCTCACTGAACCAAAGAATGCAAAAGTAAACATAAGACAATCTACATAGAGAAACTAGTGGATTCAGGTAAAAGTATTCAAAAATACAATTCTTTCCAATAAAGGATCTGAAGATTTTAACAGATTGTATCTAACATGGTCATCTCTTCACAGTAGATATGAAAAGTCAAAGTTGGACCATGGATTCAAAGGAGAAATTCAGATGTAATTGAATGAAGATCATAAAAAAAAATCAATTAATTGAATGATAGAGGTAGTGTGACTTAGTTAACTTTACCAAATTATACATTCATAGAAAATGTATTGAGATGACAAATTATTCAATACCCTTATTACTTAATTAGAAGGGTCATTAAAATGCACCCTCCATTAATGTTGCTTTTTAGAGTAAATTTCATAAAATTGCGGCTCCATTTGCCAATGGAGCTAAAAGACTTCTTTTTACAATGATTTAGCTTCATGTAGATAATTGACTAAATTAAAATGACATACATTAAACCCCCTTTGTTTCATACTCATTCCATTCTATATTAACCGTCCATTATAGTTATCAAGATAAATTAAATAATGAATGAATGTAGACATATTCTAGGTCTACATTCTTTCATTTTTGAATGTATCATAAAAATCTTAAAAGACAATTAATATAGAATGGAAGGAGTACTTCCTTAAAATTAGCAATAAATGCATCAAGGCATCACAGGCCCACTCCTAAGATTGCATACATCTTGAATCCTAGAAACAAATAAGTTGGGATTATGATGGGTTTTGTTGTTGTTATATAGATTTCGTAAATGTATACATAAAAAGGTTAGGATTTTTTTATCATGAACACCCATAAACAAATAAAATAATATAGGTAAATGTGAATGCACATTAGCACACTGTCAATTTTATCATTTATTGAATATTCATTGATGTCAAAAATTTCCTTCAGTAGTACGTTTCCAAAGAAACTATATTTCCAAAGCTCACAGTCAATTTTTATCATTAATGAGTACTCAAACATGTCAGACTTGTTTGACTTAAGGTAAGCAATCAAAAAATCTGGACCTCAACTTTGCCTTGTCAAGTTGTTACAGGGTGCATTAAATGAAGACATTTCATAGGATCAACCATATATATCATCATTCCAAATATTTATGATATTCAATTATTGAAAATAAACTCTCATGGTCAAACCATCATATAGAGCTCCAGAGAGACTAGAGAAGATAATGTAATCCAAAAAATGATGTAGGCATGCTAGTAAATATAAGAACAACTGCAGATTAGTTCGAAAAAAATCATTTTTTGAATGATGAAAAAAACAAGCATGTGTATAATGCACACTTAAACAAGACACGAATTAATCATCTCCCAAGACTACCACTCACAAAATGTATGCCACAAATGAACTGCAGCCTTATTCATAGAAAGCAAGTGGCCAAAAAATCAAACACTTTCCTAGGCCACATAGATTGATGGGTAGTTGAATACTGACCATCCACCCCATCATAATGGCACTCTAATCCCAGCTTGGCCTGGTTACATGAAATTAAAAACCCCAAGAAATTGTTTGAAATGAGTAAAATTCAGCCACAAATATACATTCATGCAAAAGTATAGCGACAACTTTTTACATCAGTGGATGTCTTTTATATCGCAACCTTCTTACGGAGTAATATGTTTATAAAGGAGGGAACAAAAAATGATAAAGCCCTGTTTGGTTTGGCCATGTTTAGTAATGCACATAAGGGGAGAGAGTAATAAATCATTATAATGTTGCACGTTTGGGGGTGCAAAGGAAATTGATGGAAAGAAATATCACTTATACTTCTTCCCGTCCCATAAAAAGAGTTAAAGAGTCTAGTACCTTGATATGTTTATGCATAAAAATAATCCTACTCAAAGAAAACAAACTCAATTTTCATGTTTTATTATGATTGTAAGTGACAAAAAAATTAAAAGTTGTACCGGACTCATTTTGTGGGACGGAAGGAGCAAGAGATTATGACTTTGAGGGGACGTCTTCCTCCTGTCCTCCCCCTCCCATGTGACCACAATTGAGAGAAATTACACTTGAGGGAGATGATAAGGTGGATATCCCCCTATTAAACTCTATCTACATTTACCCTAGCCAGATAAAAGAGAAGACCCCATGCCCCTGTTTCTCTCAGTCGGACAAAGAGCTCTGGAACTTGATTATCGAGCTCGAGACAAGAAGGGGGGAAAACAAATTACTATGATTCATTGAATTAGGCCAATTTGTTAGAGCTAAACTCATCATAATGCAAACTATGATCATAATCTCCTTCCAAAGAGGGAAATAAAAAAGATAAACAAAAGAATTAAAAAAAAGAGACTCAATTAAAGAGAACGCCAGCAATTTAACATACCACCAATTCAAAATCATGCAAGAATCGAACCAGAAAAGATCACTCCGAAATTTCGAACCTTCTCTGCACAAAATAGGCCACAATACGCCTTCTAGCTTGGGAGTTTGTGGGCTCACGCGGTACGCAACAGTCCAAAAGGAAGTTCCAATCTTTTTTTTAAATCATTCCTCTCTCTCTCTCAATATTTGTGTTCACACTGAAACTCTCAAGCAAAAGTGGCGATCGGGTTTAAGGACTTTGACCAAATTTTGTTTTTGAAATGCCTCTCCTGTGAGACGCCGGAGATGATAAGGGTCTGCAAGGCGTGGGTTGAATCTTGAAAGAGAAGAGAGTGTTGAGGGTAGTATAGTAGGGGAAAGGGAGTGAGGGAGTAACTCGTTTATAAAGTGTGATCACAAAACTTCATACAAAGAAAAATAATGGATTAATGACTACCGGCGGACTGCGGAGAAGGATTTGATATACGATTTTTACTTTCGTGTGTCTCATTTAATAAGTGTTTAATAAAGTCATGTATGATGTTGAAATGCAAATAATAATTTACTCCCTCCATCCCTCCCGAGCAAACCTTTCCGTCTACGTCTGTTTTCTTTTTGAAAATCCACTTGCACCCTATGGGTTTATCCCTTCAGACGCATCAACCAAGGTCCAGACTTGGTTTGTCTACATAGACTTCATTTCGGATTTCATGGCATTAAGCCATTCTTCGGATTCGGGGCACGTGATTGCCTCGAGGTAGGTCTCAGGTTCGCCTTGGTCTACCAGTAAGACGTCCCCTTCATCAGATACGTGGAAGCCATATTTAACCAGAGGATTACGCATCCGGTGTGACCTACATGGTAAAACCCGATCCGGTCGAGATACTAAATCTTGACGCTCAGATTCCACTGCTATTGAGATCTCTTCTTGCATGCTTTTTAAGGATAAATATCAATAATATCCTTCTATTTTATCACAAATCTACTTTTTTAGTATTTTTTTAATAATAAAAGGAGATTTAAAAATTTATAGTATGTGCATTTTTGAAAATTTTGCATTTTTTTACTATTTCTTAATAAGCGTGCCAAGTCAACACGGGAAGAATATTTCCGGACAGAGGAGTAATATTAACTAAATTCATGCATTTAAAGATTATATCTAGCAAATAAGAAATAACCTTCACAAGTAAATTGATTTTTTTGAAGACTAGATCTGATCTTATTGGATTTGAATTTGATTTGATCCGATTAGATCTGTTTTGGTCTGATTCGATATAATTAGATCTGATATGATGCATTTAAAGTTTATATCACAAAAATAAGACACAACCAACACAAGTAAATTGTTTTTTTAGAAATTAGATCTGATCTTATTAGATTTGAATTTTATTTGATTTGATATTTTTGGTCAAATTCGATCTAATTTGATCTGATCTGATGCATTTATAGATTAGATCAGGCAAACAGGACACGACCTACATAATTAACTTGTTTTTTTTGAAGATTTGATATGATCTTAATAGATTTGAATTTGATTTGATCTCATAAGATCTATTTTAGTCTGATTCAATCTAATTAGATCCGATGTGATGCATTTAAGGATTAGATCGGAAAATATGACACGGCCTATACAATTAAATTGTTTGTTTAATATTTGATCTGATCTTACTAGATTTGAATTTGATTTGATCTGTTTTGGTCTAATTCAATCTAATTTGATATAATCTGATGTATTTGTAAATTAAATCAGGAAAAAAGGACACGACCTATATAATTAAGTTGTTTTTTTAAGATTTGATCTGATCTTAATAGATTTGAACTTGATTTGATCTGATTAGATATATTTTGGTCTGATTCAATCTAATTAGATCTGATATGATTTTTTAAAATATTTGATATGATCTTACTAGATTTGAATTTGATTTGATTCGATATTTTTGAATATTTGAGATGTAGTAGCTCACATAAAATATGCAAGCAATAAGATCTAATTGGATTTGATTTGATCTTAAAGCATCTTATCTGATTAGATCTAATCTGCTAGATCTAATTCTAGTTCTATTTAAAAACTCTTTCTAATTAGATCAAATCTTGACTGATCTAATTTTTTAAAAATTTAATTAATGTTAAATGTTTTGAGTAATTTGTTTGAAATGATATCTAATAATTTAACCTAAAATCGAGTCAGGGGGGCGACACTGTAACGCCCTGGAAACCAGTCTATAAGTTAATCGATAACTAAATAAATAAGAAGTATTTTTTTATGATAATCTATTCCTTAAAGAATTAAAAGATATTTTAGAGAATTCTAATCGTCTCAATATTACGAGACTAATCTGACTCTATTTGTAAAGGTTTAAATTAAAGGAATGATCGGTACTAATTAAACGAAAGAATTAATACGGACTAGGAGGAACCGGTACATACTTGTCGAATGATAATAAAAGTTATATCGTTGGATAGGGATCGACGAATCGAATCCAATGGTGCAAATAGATCTAAATTCAAAGCAAGTTGACCCGAAAAGTGTGTTTTTACTCAGACACGTTATTTTTAAATTAGAGGATACAAAACCCTAAGAACATAAATACTCCCTACGACTCTTTCTTCGATAGAGACGCCGCCAACCCCTTTTCTGTTTTGCCGTTCTTCAATCCGGAACCAGAGACACACCAGCGCCGGCCAACGAGACACCCACGGCGAGTTGACTTGGTCCACGGCGACCAAGCTCCGGCGATTTGCTGTTTTTGGAGCTTGATTTTGAAGACTCGAAGGTCAACACATGGCAGATTTTGTTCATTTGCGATCCTCTCTGGTTAATTTGTGTTGGTCCAAGCAATTTTGAAGGCTACATCTCTGAATTTCAGAGTGTTTTGAGCTCCCTTTCATGGTATGAACGTAAATTTCTTATCCAATTGATTTTTCAATCGATTTGAGGATCTCTTGTGATTACGTATTCACTGTTCATCTCGGGACCTTGAAATGGCGTTTGAACAAACCTTTTTGTATGTCTTCATTCTTGTTCTTTGATTAATTCTATGGAGTTTCATTTGGTCTGTTGAAGAGTTGTTTGTGTTGACCTTGAAATGGCGTTTGAACAAACTTTGTTTGCTTCTCTGATTTTTTAGATGAATGGTACTATGGTTGTTCTTGCTCTAAACCTTGTGTGCTTCTGGGTGTGTACCATTGGGCATATATGGGTCTGGTTTTTGTTATGACATTGGTGTTTATTGCTGTTGTACACTGACTTTGTTCAAATTGCTTGCTAGCTACTGTTATGCAAGTCTGCAGATTAGTTTGGGCTGATGTTGATTTTTGAATTTTAAGTGTTGAATTTGAATAATATCTGAACTGAATTATTGTTTTATTTTGAACAATATGCAGCTTTTTCTTTATTTCTAAGCTGTATCTTGTGTTCTTTTTTAGAGGTAACTAAAGATAGCATTAACCAATAACGGTAGCTTTGTTACTACAACCTATTACTGTACAACAGAGAGCTTTGTGAGGTTTGAATTCCTTGATATTATTTGTCTCGTGTTCATGTTTTTTGTTATTGTTTTTGTTTTGTTGAGGACGGTCCTGGGCTTGGCGTGTGCTACCTTCTGCTATGTTTCTCTTCCATAATAGCTTGTAATGGTGGATTGAACCATTATAGCAAGAACTTGGGCAAAGTAATGAACAAATATTTCACCAAGATGTGTGTGTTGAAGGTATTTTTTAGATAGGAATAAGGATTACAGAACTAGTTAATATGTTTTAAAATTTTTCTTCTTGTTGTATGATAATGATTCAATGAGGGGTCCTAATCTAAGCATCAGTATGTTCAGCTCTATGTTCACATAGTGTGAAAATCTTAAACAGAATAATTTGTTGGAGTATAGTGTAAACAATTCAAATAGATGTATTGAAGACTATCCATTGGATGCATTGAAGACTATCTGAATAGATGTAGGCATACTTTAATCAGATGGTGTTTTGTATTCGATCCTGATTAAAGGTTTGGCTTAACTCATTAGTCTTTTACCTTCACTATATTTTGACAGATTTCCTGGATAATTATTTGCCATAATTTTTTCAAGCATTAGAGAGGAATGAAAAATCCCACTAGAACCAAGGACTCCAAAAGGTATGGATATTAGTATCAAACTGTATGAAAAAGTTTATTTGTGCGTGAAAGAGGTGTTTGAAGTACAACTAATTTCAGTTACCAGATTCAAGCATTTTTATTGTTTTTTAATATTAGGTTCAATTATACGTTCTATGTGGTTGTCTCCAACAATGGGTTCTTGATTCACAACGATCATTTCAAGAGTTATTGGGTTTCTGCTCGCAGGTGGGAGAATCAAGTTCAATCCACAAAGATTCTCAAGGATTGGGTTCCTCACTTAATCCTCTGTAGGAGCAACAACGTGTATCATAGGACTATGATGGATTGAAGAGGCATGCATGTAAAATATGTAAATTGTAAGGAAGATGATGTAAATATTAAATTATTACATGTTAATAATATTTTAAATGTATGAATTTATATATTGTTCAATATATTGTATTGTATTTATTTGATAATCAACACAAGATTACAGATGTCTAATAAAAAATTCAACTACCATTCAAATTAATAGTTTGAAAAGTGTATGTACAGCTACACAAACCCGTAGTGTTATTAACATTTAGACAATCAAAACAAACAGTTGTTTGAAATACTACAAAAATAGTAGTTCATATTTTTAAAATACAACGTGAAATAATAGTTGTCTGAAGCAAATTTCTTTAGTAATCTTTGGAGTAGCTGTCTGATAAACAATTCAACTACTGTCATAAAAGATAGTCTGAATACTTCAAGGAAAACTACAAAACACCGTTGTAATAATAATCAATATACAACTAAAAAAAATAGCAGTTTGAATAAGAATAATGTTAGTAGTCCATATTCTAGAAATACAACAAAAGATAACAGTTGTTTGATGCTATTTTTATTTAGTAGTCTTCCGAGTCGCAGTCTGATATATCTTTCAATTACTTTTTAAAGTTGATGTCTATATTGTTGAGCGACAAAACCGAGAATTAGGAGTCTGAAGTTAAAAACAACAGTAGTATTCATTATAAATAGACAACAAAACATCACAATTCTCTTTAACTCTAAAAAACAGATGTCTTACTCATACAAGGAAAACACCAAAAAGTGGTACTCTAAAACATTACAAAACAGTTGTCGTCAACCATTTTACACAATTGTTTTTAAACAATAGTCTGTAAATATATCAGACATCTGCTCGGAAGACTACCGAAATCAGCACCGAGAGACTACTAAAAGAAACAGTTGCCAACATCTATTTTTGACATAGTGATACTTCAAAGTAAGTTAGGCAGGAG